ATTTTTATGATATCCGTAAATGTTATATTATAAAATTATTATTATTATTATTATGTTATTTTTTATTATCCGTGAATGTTAGCAACTGGACAAATTGAATGCAGCGGCCAAGGAAAAGCGACCAGAATTGGTCGATCGTAAAGGTGTCATTTTCCAGCAGGACAATGCTAGGCCGCACACGTCTTTGTCCACTCGGCAAAAATTGATGGATATTGGTTGGGAATTGTTGTTACACCCACCGTATAGCTCTGATCTCGCGCCATCGGATTACCACTTATTTCGATCCCTGGACAACTCCCTTCGTGGTAAAACTTTTAACGACGATGACGCTGTAAAATCTCACTTAACTCAGTTTTTGGCCGAAAAGGACCAGACTTTCTACCAGCGTGGAATTTTCAAGTTGTCAGAGAGACGGCGAAAGGTCATCGAACAAAATGGAAAATACATTACAGATTAAACTTCGTTCCAAGTAAAAAAAATGTTTTATTTCATTGAACAAATCGGCAATTACTTAGTTGCCAACCCAATATGTTCGCAATATAATTTCTACTAGAATGGAAGAAGGTCAGAGGTCGCACTTGAAACCGATCCGAGAATACCAAGTCGCGATTCTTCGGGACTCGCGGCTCGTTTTTATGGAAACTCGGGGCACTCGGCAAAGAAGGCAGCGGCCTTTTTAACCCGAGAAAGATAACCTACGTCGCAGAGGCGCCTGCGAAATAAACAACTGACTGCACCGTTTTCATAGAGGTCTAGTGATTTAAGTTTAAAATTACTTAAAATATAAAAAAATATAATATAAATGCATTTTATTTTTACAATAATGCCAAACCTTTAAAATGACTAGATTAACTTAAATAAATATCCATTGTTAGTATAAAATTGACGCCTTAGAAAAGCATGCGCCTCTGAAGCGTATGGTTATCTTTTACGTACGTTGTCATATGGTTATCTTTCTAGGGTTAATATGAATACAGTAAATTCTCTTCAATTGTCGCTCAGAAGAGATGCGATTATTTAAGGCTCGCGGCTCGTTTTCGTCGTCGGCGATCGTCAACGAGGATAAAAAAGCGCCGCGAGGCTCGAACAATTGCATCTCCTATTCCCAAATTGTTCTCTTTTTGTTCAGAAGCTGAGCGACAATTGGAGAGAATTTACCGTACATAGTAATGCTAGAATAACGCTGACGTATAGCAAACTCGTTGCTTGTTTCTTCTATTCAGTTAGTTCGTCGTCATAAAAAAATCGCGAAAATGAAGACGTTTATCGAGAACTTTCTGTCGAAATCATTCTCGTAACTCCGATAAGCGAAAGAACAAAATAAAAAAAGAACACCAAATAATTACGACAAAAATGAAATAGATCGAACACAAAATTGTAAAGACGTTACAAAAATGTCCACCATATTTACGACGATAAATCCGATAGATCTGCGCAAATACGATAAAATGATCGACCGCCGTAAAAATCGCGTAACATCGAAATCAATTACGCAATCGCGTTTTATTTATTCACGAGAAGACTAAGCAAATTAACAATACCGAGAGCATGAGAGGAATCGGTCGATATCGAAATGATTGTGGGAAGAAACGAACTTCGATTCGATCGCCTGGAAATATTTTAAAAACGAAGGCAAATAACTGAGAGTATTTTAGTCGATCGATTCGATATCCCATTACTTTGGAACAGTTTTTTGAGAGACGGTCGCTATACGTTCTCTCCGAAGGAAAAAGTCTCTCTCTTTCTCTCTCTCTTCCTCGCGCGCGGGATCGATCGGAGGAAGCTCATCGACGATAATTTAATCGCCTATTAATTGTTGGTAAAGTACGTAGCCATAATTAGAACGGACTTTTATACGGCGTACTGTAATTTAATGGACGGCCGTGGATTGAAATGTTGCCGGGAATAATGGTGATTTAAACGAAAATGATTTGCCCGTGCCCGTAATACAGGATAATTACGTTCCCTGACCGACTTAATAATATTACGTCATTTTCGTCGTGCACACGGCGCATCGGCGCATCGTGTTCTCCATTTACGCGTGTCCGTCGCTTTCGTTTCTTCTCGTTCGCCTAATTCGCCGATCTGTTAAGGAGAACAATAAACGGATAAAACGGATAAAACGTGAATGAAAAAGCACGGTGACTCTCGATAGCGGCGCTTTTATGCGACGTTCTATCGTATTTAGACGATTTATTCATATTTTATTATTATTATTATTATTATTATTATTATTATTATTATTATTATTATTATCATCATCATCATTATTATTATTATTACAATTATTACGTGCAACAGCCATCGCTAAATACAGTTTTTATAGATCGTTGTTTCTACGATATCCTATTTTTTATAGCAACGCATTATTTCGCGTATTAAGAATTGAACGACAAAGCTGCATTAACAAAATCATCGATAATTTTATAATCGGTTAATGTGTTATATTAACTATTATATTAACTTAATAATTATCGGTTAACGTTACATCAACATTGCTGAATTAACTATTATCGCTAAGCAAAATTAATTCTCGTTAGAACTTTATAAAAATCCTGTGAATCGTAAATGAATTAAATCAATAATACATATAACCTGCAGTATTAAATAAATCTTCGAAATCCTCGTAAACATCAGATTCTTCATGGCACTAATCACGAATTGCAATTTTCGCGAATAAACACTTTTTAAAACGTCTCAAAATTTTGCAGAACGATTTGCACATATTTCGCCTCCTTGGACTATTTGTTTTTTTTTTTTTAATAAAACGTTGTCCCTTGATTCGCTCTCAACGAACGAATTTTCCATATAAAGATACAAATTCGTATTTACCGCGGTTCCCGAAAGATTCAAGGAGTCGTTTGTACAAGCGAACAATTTCGAACACGAGATGACTCGATGTCGAATATTTTTCACAGAACTGTGTCAAACCCGAAGAACACACCGGAATTCGTACAATCGCGTTGTAAAACCGAATGTTGATAGAAGCATTTCCATTCTTCGTTCCGCGTTGCTCGAATCATTTGTTTGCAGTATCGCGTTCTAACTGAAATTGTTCGTTTACGGTATTTCGCGAGGTATCCCGATATTTTTCGTACAATCGAAAAACCGTTCTCCCGAATATTATTTTGTCCGGCAGAACGTTCGCCGCTCGCTCGTCCAATAAAACTGCAGCGGGAATCCGCGGGCCGGCGAGCCGATTCGCGATTCGGCCGGATTCTACGCGTCCCGATGATTCAAATATATTTTAAAGGCTTCGATCAATTTCGTTCGCAGATCTCCGGAAATCTACACAATACCGGCCAGTTTCTGGTATTCAGGGCGGACCGGGAGGCGAAGGTGCGAGTCAATATAACGGGTGGCCCGTTGGCTTACAACTACCAGTTCGAGGAGATCTACATTCACTACGGGCTGGACAATGATCACGGGTCCGAGCATCGGATTAACAACTACGCTTTTCCCGCCGAGGTGAGTGAGGCAATTTCTCCCAGAAGTGTTCGTAAGTCGGAATTGAAACCGGCAGATCCGGGAATACCAAGTCGCGATTCATCGGGCCTCGCGGCTCCTTTTTATGGAAACTCGAGGCAGTCGGCAAAAAAAGGCAGTGGACAGCACATCGGTGTACGTTAACACGTTCCGTGCCGAGCTTTTTTTACTCGAATCTTCACACTTTGATATTTTACTAAAACTTGATGTATTACGTGCAATTATTAATTCTCGTACACATAACAACGTAACAAAAACTTATCAACGCCCATTCTTGCGGTGGAAATTGATTCTTCGGTTCTAAATTTCTTGTAAACAATTTGTTCAGTTCGCTAAGTAAACATGCAAGCGTGTACCATCGATGGTACACGTGGCACGGAACGTGTTAATATGAATACAGTAAATTCTCTGCAATTGTCGCTCAGCTAGTAAACAAGGATGAACAATTTGGGAAGAGGAGATGCGACTGTTTGAGGCTCGCGGCTCGTTCTCGTCGTCGGCGATCGTCAACAACGATAAAAAAGCGACGCGAGGCTCGAACAATCGCATCTCCTATTCCTAAATCGTCAGCTTTTCGTTTAGAAGCTGAGCGACGATCGAAGAGAATTTACTGTACGTAGCAATGCTAGGATAAAAACGATGACTTGACTTTTTTATTTCTAATTTTTTGCCGCGATTCGAAGGCGATTCGGAGGCCACGTGACACGATTCGAAGGCAATTCGGAGGCGACGTGCCACGATTCGGTCGCATTCGATTCATGCCCGTCGGTAAAAATCGTACGCTGCTGGCGACACTGTAAAACCGGCGAATTCCCGATTGCGTTTTGTTTAACAATGCTTGGAAACGATAAAAGTATAGTTCGGTTATTGTTTTCTTCGTCGTTTGTCTTGCCTGGCCTGTTTTTTCAAAAAATAAAGAGAACGCGACGAACTGCATTAGCGGAACGTGTATTGACAATTTACTGTTATGAAAATGGAAAATGTTATAACGAAATCGGTGAAATTATTAATCGGAGTAAAAGTACGATCCAAAGTATTATAAAACAGACCATTTTGCATTGTCTTCCGGGAATTCTCGTCGCGTGCCGCATCGCACGCTCGACCGACTCCGTCGACCCTTAGCATCGACGCAGCAATAAATTACATAGGCGTAGGACTAACACGGGGAAATTCACAGCGACCCGAAATTTGGTATTTACGGGAGGAATTACTGCATTATGCCGGATACTGTATTATGTTCGGATCTATTTTCGGCTGCTACACGATCGATACGATCGACACGGGATCTCCTCTCGTTCGAAAAAGTCGCTGTAAATAATTTTCAATTTATAAAATACCTCGTTCGTCTCGCAATCGCGAAAACGATTTTTGTAAAAATGTTTCACGGACGTGACGAACGACTAAATAATTTCATTGTTCGCTACCAACAGCGAATTGTACAAGATGGATACGCTCCAACATTTTTGCCGGCTGTTTCATTCCGAGTTGTACTTTTAAATCAATGTTGACAATATCTCGATTAAATTTGTTTTCTGTCAACGTTCCTGATAAATAATTCACGCCCGGCCCGGCGGATCTTTATGCTATCCATTTCCACGCGCATAGTTTTATTCAAACCAAAAACAATGGAATTTATACTCGTGAATAAAAGATCCGCTGTAGCAAAACGAAAATAAAAGGCCGCGCAATTTTCATGAGTGCACACGTGTTCTTGCATTTCCGAAATTTGCATACGCCATAGATGCGCGAAGATCGTCCGCGCGGTTCTACGATGCGCAATTTTTCGGATAGCTCGCCGTCGGAATCGGACAAATATTTCCGAAATACAAAAGAACGAATTTCGGACGCGAGAGAAGGGTTTGTTGCGCGGGGCCGTAAAAAAATATATATATATTACAAGAAACGCCGGGCACAAAGGGCGAAAGTTGCGCGCGACACGCAAATTTCATCATTGCGGGAACGCCGCGGCCGTGGAACATTTTCGGAGGTTTGTATCCAGCTGCGGAGATTTAATATCGTTGATCCTCGGTCGGACGAAACCCGGCAGAATTCACTTACGAAATTGAAAAAGTGATTTCGCGTCGCTTAGATAACGAAACGAATTCTATCGCGTCCGAAACCACGCTGCGGCGAATCAAAATGGACGAGGAGCCGCCGCTGCACGGCAGAAAACACCCAAAAACACGGTGAAAAATATATCTTTTCATTGAAATCACCTGTTTACGCGGAATTTTTTGAGCTGCCGCAATGAGCTGTTAACACCGAAAATTTATTTGTGAGTTATTAACACGTAAAATTCATTTCTTTGCAATATTTATAAATATAAATGTGATCATGGAATACAATTATTACACACATATAGATGTTTGAAAATGAGTTATTAACATATAAAATTCATTTCTTTGCAACATTTATAAATATAAATGTACTCATGGAATACAACTATTAGATACAGACGTTTGAAAATGAGTTATTAACATATAAAATTGATTACTTTGCAACATTTATAAATATAAATATACTCATGGAATACAACTATTATATATAGACGTTTGAAAATGAGTTATTAACATATAAAATTCATTACTTTGCAACATTAATAAATATAAACGTAATCATGGAATACAACTATTACACATAAATGTCTGAAAACTAATTTACTACAAATCATCAACGAATTTACAACTGATGCAAGCTAGTTAGTAACTAATTATACATATTAACAATAACTATAACTAATTACATCTAAATTAACAATAATTTAACGATTAGACAAAATAAACGAAAATCCCCCAAAAAATAAAAATAGAAAATGAAATGAAATAATTAAATATTATATTTAACATTAATTTCTTCTCTATTTAATTTCTGATAATAAACATTTTGCTTTGCATTATTAATGGCATTTCTTCCAGTTAATTTGTCTCGATTTTGAGGTTAGTGGACTCGCACTGTTGGCTACCGAGCCGCTCGAAGCGGCGAAAAAACGAGGCGAAAAACGAAGGAGGATCGAAGCAAATGAAAAATCGAACGCCATTAACGGCTCCGCCATTTTTTCGGACGCTTTAAAGTTATATCTGCCGGCTCGATGAATCTTTCACGAGACCAATAGCCGGGCCGTTTCAATCGAATGATGACTGTCGTCATCAATTATGAATCCAACGCGGACTACCGATTCGAAACGGAAATCGCGTTTCGTCTCTTTCCCGGCTGTTTTTTTTCCTTTTTTTATGTCGGCGCGCCGAGGAGGGAAATAGGTCGTGTATCGCGCGGGCAGCATATACTATACCTCGATCCTCTTCCCCGGGAAAGTAAATTTAATCTACTATTAGTTTCATTCTTTGAACGCGGCGGGGCCCGGCCACCGGGCAAACCCTGAAAAAGACAGCGGCGATTTTCCGTTCGTCTTTTTATTTTTCACTTTTACCGTATTGACTTTCCCCCGGTTTGTTGCACCGGAGAGGGCTTTGGGAAAGATTGTGGAATAAATTCGTGTTATAGACGCATTCGATATTCATCCTTTGCGCGGGTGTTCTCGTATGTTTGTCGCGGCTCTCTTTGCGAACGAATAATTTCGTAGGCCAATTTTTTCGCATCGCCGAAAAGCTGCGTTTAATTTGCGTTCAATGCGCCAGAAATACATGTCGATGTTTCAGACGTTTCTGTCTCTAGAGAGACATTCTTTCACGTTGCGGAAATCGGTAATTTAATAACGTTCTTTTAAGGAAATAAAAGTAGGTGTTTTCTACTTTAATTACTTCGAAATTTAGGCGGTTCGTAAGGTGACCTAAAAAAGAACAAATTCGATACGGTCAATGGAATATCTGTCGCGGCTCTCTTTGCGAGCGAATAATTTCGTAGGCCGATTTTCGCATCGCCGAAAAGCTGCGTTTAATTTGCGTTCAATGCGCCAGAAATACATGTCGATGTTTCAGACGTTTCTGTCTCTAGAGAGACATTCTTTCACGTTGCGGAAATCGGTAATTTAATAACGTTCTTTTAAGGAAATAAAAGTAGATGTTTTCTACTTTAATTACTTCGAAATTTAGGCGGTTCGTAAGGTGACCTAAAAAAGAACAAATTCGACACGGTCAATGAATATCTCAAAAATGAAAGACAAATTATCGATAGAGATTAATCAAATAGAAGAAAATTATCAAATGCGTTAAATATATTAAATTGAAAGTAGAAGAAAGTTTCGGATGGAAACGCGAAGGTTTCCGCGCAAACAGCCCGTACCGCGTTGTGTTTAATAGATTCATTAAGGGGGCCGGTAGTTCGAAGCGAAGAAGCAGCATAACGTCGAAACAAAATTAACGAACGGCGTTCGGCGCGGATAGACTGACGAGGCTGGGCGGATCGGCGCCGGCCAGTTCGACGTCGCCGTTAATCGAAATTAATCACCAGCCGGTTTCGTAACGAGACAAATTAAACATTCGTTAAACGCGACGCGACGATGACCCAATTAACTGCGGCCTGCTCATCCTCCCGGCGCGCGCGGCTCGGCTCGGCTCGGCTCGGCTCCGCGTTTCCTCTCTACGTACGACCTAATTTCCGCGGACGTCGACGGACCGCGAAAGAATGTCGCGCCGCCCCGGTTATTCGCGACGATTTCAATTTTAATTAGAGTCAAGAGCGATAAGGTCGCGTCCCAAGAAGCACCGCGTTCGGCGTGCCACTGCCGGAGATCGTCGAACTCGTCTCGATACTTCGCCGCGCTCGTGTCCGCGCGAACACCGATTTTCCGAAATTTCAAGACGCGCGACGTGTTCTCGTAGATTCAACCCTTTCGACGATTAGACAGATTGGTTAATATCGGTACTTTATTCTGTTCGATTTACATATCGATTGATTTGATTGTTAATTAATTTGTCAATTTAATCGTTTAAGCGACGGTTCTATATATCTAATTCTATTCTACTATATCTAATTTTTACCATTTTTTATTTATCCCTGTTTTGTATTTTATTTTTATTGTGTAC